TAATTATATTAAATAGATAATTTTAAAATTGATTGAGTGATTAATTAATTTTAGGAATAATAATGAACTATTTTTTTTTTAATAATTTACGTTTTCATCAGTAAATTTTATAAATATTATAATAAATATAGTTGTTATTATTAATATATACAAATAAAAATATAATAGATTAATTAGATTAATTTAGTTTTAGTCAATTTTATATATTTGAAAAATGTATATATATGAAACTGGCAGTAAAGAAAATATCTGAAAAGAGTCTGCGACTATTATTTTTTTTTCTGAAAGAAGCTGGAAGAGAAGAGAACGAAGTGAAGGTTTTTTTTTTTCTGTAGCTGAAAATTAATGAACGAAGCTGAATCGAATTTGCATTGAAACTATTTCCGTCGACGGACGATTGAGCCGCCCGTCGTCGTCCCGCAATATTGTTTATTTATGCAAATGCGATTAGGTCGTTCGGGGGTGGTTTTTTTGGGTGGTATGAAAAAAAAAAGAGAGAGATGAGAAATTGGGTGAGTGGATGAAGAAAGAAGAAAGAGAGAGTTGGGATGTTGAGACGCAGCGTATAATAATTCATTTCTGAAGTAATAAGATTGCGCGCTGTGCGGGTATCAAAGTATGAGGAGGAGGAGAGACAAAAATAAAACGAAATCTGGGGGCGGCGGTGGCCGTAATGAGATGTCGTCGTGTAGAGGAAATTGAAACCTGACGCGAGGGGCTGGAAGAAAATTCGGTTGTTGCTTATTTGCTGTTGTTACGCTATACTATGTTATGCAGGAAACAAGAGAAATTGACAAAAAATATATACAAGCTAGCGGATCCATCTATCGGCGGACGAAGTAAAAAAAAATAGGTTCCGAAATTAAATCTTCAGCTGAGGGTGGGTCGTTAACGAGAAATACTGCCTTAATATCTTAGGTTGTGAAATAACAATGCATCATTTTCGTAACTCGTTTCGAGCACATTACAAGCCTCCGTAATGGGTGGAGGCTCCTATTGATATTGCACCATCCCCTTGTTCCGGCTCCCATTAGTTGGTAGCACTGTTGCTGCTGTTACTGCAGCGATGCCAACATTACGGATGTCGTTCGGATTATTCATATCTTCTTCCTTCGATCGTAAACTTTTATTGCCACCTATATACCGAATCCTCCTCGGTCCGTCAATCCGCTTATCCTGGCTGTTATCTGTTACCCGACATCAAACGAACGAAAACGGATGGTCTCAAGCATAAATGTATACAGGCTCCTTCTGTATTCACATTCTTTTTCTCCCACAAACAACGGTTTACAATTTTTATTACATCCCCGAAAACATACACTTTTTTTTATCATGCAATTAAGATAATTGGTCATTATGTAAGCAATTATTTCATTGTGCATTCTCAGTTGATCAAGTATATATGGATAGTTTATAAAAAATAATGAAAATACATCAAATGCTTAAAATTTTGAAGCAATTAAATAATAATAATAACAAAAGTTATTGCAGTTATTATATTCGATAATAATATAATGAAAAATATGTGTAGTAATAAAAATTGGTTTTTGAGCCCTCTCGGTGCTTGCAGCAATAAGGCCATCGTTCATCATGAATGGACAGTCAAATGAAAGAGGTTCAGCATATGGACCTTTGCCAAGTCGATGGACATCGACATTGTTAAGGATAGCAGCAGATTCACAGCAAAGGAAATACTGGAATGGCAGAGCATCAATATACTACTGAAGTTATCCTACAAGACGACAGCCAACCAACAAATTAAAAAGAAATAAAATCATCATAAAGTTACGATTATGATGATCCACCGGGAAAGATTACCTACCTAATGTCAATCGCTATCTTAAATTTACTCAATGTTCGCATTGATGAATAAAATTATACGACATAAAAAAAAAATACATTTGTGAATCAAATTGCAAAATTTTAAACCAATGTTTATATGGGCACGAAAATGTGTGCGTTTTATTTCAAATTGATATCCAAATCATTATTCAATGTTTTTCTTATAAAAATTTAAATAATGCCACACCTGCCTATAAAAATATCATATATATATATTTTGAAATATACATTGAAACCTCGCTTAGCGACCATGTAAAATAGGACAATGCGTTCCGTGCTGAAAACAAATTAAGTATAACTTTTATTTAAATAAAATTATATATACATTATTAAGGAGTATAAATTATTTTCATCTTTTTTTCTATTGCAGAATAAATCAACCTGGAATGCGAACTCGATTTGTAGAAAACATTTTTTTAAACTTTTCAAAGTAACATAAATGTCTCACTTAACGAGCGAGACATTTATGTTACAATTTGTTTTGTTCGTTAAGCAAATTATTAGTTAAGAGAGGTATTCGTAAACAAGTTTCCAATGTATATAAACAGCATATTATTACTATGCAGAGTAAAATTGCATTCGTTTTTCAAATTCGTAATAATTGAGCAAAAGTAATGGTGGACATTTCTTTGCCAATTGCATAAATTTTAGTATAAAATATGTTGCCATTTGCGTCAAAGTGCGAGAGAGGCATGCAAATCAAAATGAAAAAGAGAGAATGCAATTTGATGCAAACATTCCATTAATACCCATTTGAACAAGCGCACATATATGCATGAAACTTGCAGCTATTTGCCGGCGAGAAACGTTCAGGAAAATCCTTCTTATTTCGAGTTTCTCATATTTTTCGAGATCATTTTCACCGATGCAGGAGGCAATGTACATAACACACTCAGCCATTTTTCTATTCGTGATGTAGATACGCGCACACACATATATAATAATATACGTGCAGAGTTAGAACAGGGATGAGAAAAGTAATTTCCCGTGAATTTTCGCGAAACTCACTGTACATACAAAACACACACTAAATGCCGTTAAACGATTACATAATGGCCTCGCGACGATATTAACCATTTGTTACGCCTATTTAAGCGTGCTAATAATAGTAGTTGTAATAGCAATAGAGAGGAGGGAAGGAAAGAGAGAGAATAGTACGCATTGTCATTCGATTCACACGTTTACACTCATAGGAGTGAAATGGCAAAAATGTCATCATCGTTGTCGTTGCAGACGACGTCGACGTCGCGACGCCCCAGCGATAACGATCGCATTTAAATTTTATACAGCGCCGTTGTGTACACAGTGTCAATTTATAACTGGTTTTGAAGTCGAACAATTGAAATTCACACCTCATTAAAGCCAAAGTGGCTAAATCCCTGGCGGAAATGTCAAACGACGCACTCGTGTCTCCTTCCATTCACGTTTCTCTTCCTCCTTCTAAATTATGTGTATATATTCTCACTGGAAATCTACCTAAAATTAAACTAAACTTCATGAAATTTTATAATATACATTATGTATCAGTTATATTTTCGCTATAAACGAATTTCAAGTGTTACTAAACTTTTCTAAATTATGCAATACACATCAATATTAAATACATTATATTTAATATAAAATAAAATCATAAATAACATTATATACTGGTTCTAATTATAATACTAATTATGTCCAGAAATACCTCGCATAATGTGGGCTATAAACCTCTGATTAATCGTGGAACGAATTGAATCCACGGTAAATTGAGACCCGTATAATCGTTTAATTTTTGTATGTACAGTAAACATACAAAAAATAAAAGCACAAAACAAATCTTTACTATCTATAAAAAATATTTTCTGTAACACTATTTTTTAATTATTTTGCTCATTTAATATTTAGATTCTTTTGAAATTTTAAAACCGGACCATCAAATTTAAAATTATAGAAAATTTAGCATAAATTCGATAACAAAATACAAATAATAAATATAAAACTATTATTGAATATAATTTTAACGTTATTTCTAGTTAAATTTAGTGCATTGACTTTGTAAGAAAAAAAAAAAAATTTTATAATTTAAAGAAAGACAAATGATCTAAAAGGATAAAATTATATAAAAAACTTCTCAACAATTATGAATAAAAAATAATCAAAAATTCAAAGTTTTTGATATTTTTTCTTGTTTTTTCTTGTTGTTGTTGGTATTACAATTGTTATTAAGATTATCCTTGTTTTTTCATTTACAAATAACAATATTTTCATTTTGTATATTTATTCTTTATGCTATCAATCTTTATTTTTTCTTATTATTTGAGTAATGAAATGTTGATGGAAATGTGATTTGTTTAAATAATATTATTTGAAAGATTGGGGTCTTAGATACATCGATTTATATCCAGGTATTCAAGATGATTGAGGAGATCCGTTTGAAAGAAAGAAATAAATAAATAACTTCTGAAGTGTTCGCATATTTGCCACGAATCGTTGCAATGCATATCAAAAGTTCAGGAATGGAAAGAAAAGCAGAAAAATAAAATAAATAAAAATGTGACCGTGTGGAGTAGAAAAAAATAGGAAGAACAATACGATAAATCGTGGACGTCGTGTATTTCGTTTAGGAGCGCCGCCGGATGTTTTGCATTATTTAATCTCGTTGTGTGTTTGATAGATGCGTTCGATTTTTATAAATGCGAAAGTAACATTACGGACATGACGCAATCAATTTTCAGGAGCGCTGCAAGAATGCCCGGTGATGTATCACCTTGAAGGGGTTCGAAGGGTGGAAGTTGGGTGGGGGTATGATGGTAGAGGAGACCCATTGACAGAAATTGGAAATAGATTGAATATCGACTTTTTATCTGGGATTTTTCGGGGCGGTGAAGAAGGTTGGAAGGAGGAAGGAAATGGGTGGATGCAACCTAACCTAACATAACCTCACCTGCAACCTCCAGGTGTCTGTGTCGGTGGAGCATTTTACTCTCATCCATTTACCAACGGGATGCATTACATATTCCGGCCCGGCTTTTATCAAAGTTTATCACCTAAATTGGCACTTTACACTGCTCACTCCATTACTGCACGTTTTTCCCGTCTAAATAAAATAGCGATAAACGCTGCATATCCCATATGTCACTCTACCTTACTTATTTATTTATATTTATTTTCTCTTTCAGATGCACAACTCTACCGAGAGTCAGGTTGTGCTTTCCTCGGTTCAACTCTCCACCTCCGGCACCTACAGATGCGAGGTTTCCGGCGAAGCACCGTTCTTCCAAACTGTCACCGAACATGGACACATGATCGTCGTCGGTAAGTTTACAAATTCTGCAATTTCCATTAACTAAATCACATTTCAAACATTAAAAGTTATAATCTATACACTTAGTTAACAATCTAACATTAAAAACATATATCCAGCTATTCACTACGTGATACTTGTCAAATAAATAATAAAAGAATATTTACAACCAAATGTTGCATATTTCAACAATACTTGATGAACATTCTCATTACACATTATCAAAATTTTTCTAAAATTACTATTAAATATTACATTTAACTTCTATTGTATGCATTATTTAAGAACAATCAAACATCAAAATTAATGATGTTATCAAAATATTTATGAATAATATTTATAATTATATAATTTATAATATTTGTTGAAAACTCATGTAATATTTCCAATAATTAAAATAAACTAAGTTGAGATTAAAAAAAAATATAATTTTTAATTACATTTTTCTGTAAAATTACATAAATCATGTTTAAAAACTTTAAATTTTAAATTAATATTTTATTTGTAAAAAAAGATAATTTCATTTTTAAATATTGAATTTTTCATATGAAGTTTCTAAAGTTTACATTAAAAAATTATGTTTGATAAACCATTTCGAGTTTTATTGATTGTTTGGTGCATTTAATCAATAAGTGCAGTTGAAAAAATTGTAAATTAATATTTACATTTGTAAAAGCAAAACAAAACACAAGACTACTCAAAAAATACTGTATTCAAATTTTCATCTACAGATTATAAAAATTACTTTAAAAATACATATATTTCAAAATCATTTCTAGTTTATTTACTATTTGGTGTATACAAATCAATAAAAACAACTGAAAAGGACATAAATACAAACATTTATACCAAACTAGGATTTGCAAGCATATTTTTGTCGCAGGATGAGATTAACGGCGACGAGGAAGTATAAAAAACAAACAAACAAACAAAGAACAGTAACGCAGAAATGGCATATTTCCAAAGGCATTAACATACATGTGAATCCATGGAAACGTCGAAATAAACTCCTACCAATTACAATAACCCGCGAAGTATGTTAGCAACAATATCGTTGTTTACAGAGATGCGGTTCCAAATAAATTTCAGTAAAAAAAAATAAAGTATGAACGAGCGAAGTAAAAAATAAATAAATAAAATGAGACGAGAAGCATCGAAGTGAAGAAAATGTAGGAGAATCGTAAATCCATTTAGTTGCCAAATCCATGACCCAAATTGCGCGCACAAAGACGTCCCGGCGCCTCCGCCATTTACGAACTTTCTGATTTAAAGCTCGCGCATAAAACTTTCAATGCCGTTTTCATTTGTTTCTGATTGATTTTCTACTATTTTTTTATTTCAGCATTCTTAGAGATAACGTCCATATAATGTATGTCAGCTTTTTGGAAATTTTCGAATGTGTTGCTTTCCTTCCATGCTTTATTCAATAATTCTAAAAAGAATAGATGAGAGAAATTTTATATAAACTTTTTTGTTTCCCCTGTTTTTCATAACCTTTGTTTATCCAACTTGATCATGTAAAGTCATTTATATTCTTGTCTCAATTGCTTAAAAAACCAATGTCACACTTAAACTTAATCATTTCTCTTTCAATGCGAATAAAGTTACCTAAATATATATAATAATAATTTAAAAATTCCAATTTCACTCTTCATTAATCAATAAACCATTTGTTGACTATTTCCAATACGAAATAAGTTAGAAAGAAAAAAAATAACTGTGTACTAAATGAATGCAGCAAATCCGCTTGCGTGATTAAAGTGCGTGAAGCTCTTAATTGATAACCGGATCGCAGCACTTCAACGCACGTAATACCATTATAAATTGATGTAATTCCATTATGTAAATGAATGCATCGTGAACTTTACTCGCAGACACATAATACCCGCAACATGAGTTTATATTTATTTTCTATCAAGTCCTCATATGTCGCTCCAAATGGAAATTACAACACCCTCGAGGCAATTATTAATTTTGTTTTTGGTTTTCGTTTTTTATATTTTTTGTTTGCTTCTCCCGAAGCTACATGCAACTGCATTTTTATCATTTATGTTATAGCATATTTGGAAGTGAAATATGCTCCTTCAGGGATTCGCGCTCGAACTGAAACGACGTCCCAAGGGCTGAAAAAATGTTCTCAATCCTCTCTCTCACACACATATTCACTCTCTATCTCTAAGCAGACTTCACTCCTCCAATAAACGAGGTAATCCAGTGTGTACATGAAATATTAATTGTGTAAATTACACTTTTTTTTAGTAAAGAAGATTTGGATGTAAATACTTTTACATTACAATTTATCCGATGATTCATCTGTTCAGGTGTTGTGTACATTTATAGTATTACAGAAACATTCGTTTCTAATATTTCAACATTTTTTTGATTAATTTAGGTTGACCCATTAAAAATAAAGAAATCAAAGAAGTTTTTCCACTTTTTTTTTCGAAATATATATGTTATGAAAAAATTAAATAATATTAAGAAAGAAATTTTATAACAATTATCTATTTGTTATTTTAAGTAAAAATTCAGTTTTTGTTGAATTTTAAAAATGTTAACAAAAAATAAAGTACAAATTCACTAAGTAGAAACTTGTGTGTTAGAGCGTTCCAAAATTTGATACGTTCTTCAATACCACTACGACCAAAAAAGAATGTGTTGTTTATGAACCCAATATAGTATCGAATGCAGCAGCAAAGCGTTGGTTCCAACACTTCCATTCTGGTAATATGGGCGTCAAATGTGAGACACGCTCTGGTAGGCCAATCGTTGAAAATGTTGATAAAATCATGGAAATCGTCGAGTCAGACCGGCATGCGAGCGAGCACTTATTCTATTGCTCAGGAACTGAAGATTATCCAGAAAACCGTTTGGAACCATTTGCATAAAGCTGGTCTCAAGAAGCTCGATGTATGGGACAAAATGCTCTGAACTTTTTACTTAACTAATAATATTTTCATTTATTGAAATACCTCTCAAATTTTAGAACAAACTAAACTTTAATTGAGCAAAACTTTTTCCACGCGACTAGCAACGTTACATAATGTTTCCTTGAAACTCTGATTTTTTTTTTAAATTGTTTTTTAAATTAATACGAAAAAGTTTTCCATTTACTAATAAAAAAAACTATTATTGTTAGCATATTGTATCCAAATGTGTCCAACCTTCGGAGGACGATATTCTTCATGAAATATTCAGCGAAGAGAAGGGTGGATATTTTTCAGTAATATTCTACCAATTTAGTAACGCGCATGGGGGTTCGATTTCAATATACGTATGGAGAAAAATCGCGAATGTTCTTATTTATTTGCCGATTGGCCAATCGAATCGATTTGCGATAGAAAAGCTCTCTCAGTTTCCTTTTCGTCTCTCTTTTCTCTCTCTCTATCTTCTCAAGGGAGGCGACGACTACAGAATGTTTAGTCTATTTCCGGTCTCTACCTATGTGCAATTTTATTAAACGTAATTACGAGGCCGATTGCGAAACCCGATAGCAGACGCAATGCACGTAACGTGAAAAATAAAAAGCGTATATCGCAAAATTGTTGCAGTAAAAAGTAGACGAAAAACAAAATAAAAATTTGTATTGAAACGAGCATAGAGAAAATGCTCCTGTAAATATCTATAATTGTATCGTCGCATCCTGAATATCATTTCCTCTTTTCTCCATCGAGTCTCGCTTTTCATTTGAAAATTTCGAAACAAAATTGCAAATTTATTGAAGCTTCCACAGGATTACAGCGACTCAATTTTCGTACCTTCGTTAAGGTTTTTTGTATTTTGACAATAATCAACGAAAATGTATTTATTTTTATATCATTTTTAAATTTTAATTTAAGATTACATCAACACTTGGCATAAAAAAAAAATATTTTAAATTATTTTTATTATGTAATAAATATTGGACGATATAATTATAAAAATAAGAATAAATGTGTTTATTTTTATATGAAATTCAATTAAAAATAATACATATTTTCATACAATTTATGTATAAATAGTAATATTATTTCTAACAACAGAATAATCATATAGAAACAAATAATACAAAGACTTTTAAAAAAAATGTTAGTTTTAGATACATTTTATTAACAGAACAAAACAGATGTATTGTTTCGAATCAGAATTGTGTTATCAGTATGAAATATAGTAACAGTATTGTGTAATTCTCAATACACATATATATTTTATCTGTTATTCCAAAACAATTATCAAAAACAAAATAATTCCAATAATGGAACACGTAAAGCTTTCTACGTATTTATGCATTTACTAATTGGACACAATATTCAAAGCTTTTACAATAATTATTGATTTTTTAAAATATTAAAGCTTCTATTTTATAATACTGAACATCATAAAATAAAAGTTTACGTACGGAGATATCGCATCTTTCTGAAGTGGGCTGTAAAAATAAAAGATTCAATTGAAGGGACAACAACAGAATATAACAAAATGTAGAACACGGTAGATGCGTTTTATGCGTTTATTTAGGGTGATCAGAAGACGTTACGAATTTTTATATAGGCTGTGAAGGGTTCCCCAAATTAATTATCTAAGTGAGCCATTTTTATTTGTTCCGTTGTTCTTTTTTATTCGCCCCTCTCACTTCATTCATATAAGTTCTTCTTTTGATCTTCAAAAGCGTATGCATATTGTTGTTATGTTAACCTAAAAACCATGCAAACAAAATATCTGATAATTTGAATATTTTTTGAAACTTAAGCAATATACATTTTTAATTATTCTAATATTTAATTTGTTTATCCAATCAATTCAGTTTTTTTTAATTTAGAATTGAAACACAAATTTGGCAAATACAATTTACATTGTTTTATTCATCATAATTGAAATGTTTCGAGTTATGTGTGTTCCATTCTGATATGTGTTGTTTCAAATGCATTTACTTTATGCGGCAATGTCACTCGAAATGCGTCCGTACGTTTCATTCCGTTCCTTTGCTTCCACCGCTGTTTTGCAAATTCGATTCGAACGTGAAATTGGGGGGTTG